TAATGGTGAACAGAAGCCTCTGGGTGGGTCAGCCATGGACTTTAAACACACATGTGGACACGCCATCGCAGCCCTTTCCCTTTCCCTTTCCCTCTCTATCTCTCTCTTTCTCTTTCTCTTTCTATATATATAAAGGTAGATATCTGTGTACGTATACCTTATACTCGGATGGCACCTTGAATTGTGTTTGCTCTCTGGCCATTTGACTGAAAGGACAAAAGCCAGGGAAAAACGGAAAAGCCGCAGGACCAGTCGGCCCAACAATAACACAGCGCTTGGCCTTTTTGGCCCTAATGCCCCCGTTAGTGTTTGTGTTCTCTGCCTCTGCCACTGCCACTGCCTCTTCCTCCCATCCTCTTCTTCTGCCTCTGTTTCTGTTTCAGTTTCAGTTTCGCTCTGCACCGTACAACGGGGCGTATGGGAAATTATTTTTACAATTTCAATGTCAACATGTTGGGCGAAGGCCGAGTGCTGTTGGGGTTCCGTCATTGAATGGCTGAGCTTGAAGTTAACTAAAAATACGTGAGCATGTTGGCGGGCATTAAGAATGCTCCTCCTACGTAGAATCATACGCCGCGTGAGCGTTCAAGTTACGTATACGCAGTGTGGAACGAAACGAAACGAAACGAAACGAAACGGAACGGAATGCCGGGGCGCGGCGTAGTGTGGCGTGTGGCGAAACTTAAATGGAAACAAGGCAAACAACACAAGGCAAGGATGCGGGAAAATGCAAATAGAAAGTTGCCACAAAATGATTTGCCATGGCACGCACCGTCGCAGCGAACAAAACGCAAGGGGGATTTGCCGAGGGGCAAGAAAAAAAAAAAGAAAGGAAAACAAAGAAAACAGGAAAGAGGAAAAAGGAAAGCGCAAAGCGCAAAGAGAAAAAAAACTGAAACGCAACTCGGCTTGAAGGAGCGAAACACCATGTCAGTGGCACATTAAAAAATCATTTTCAATAACGCGCTCCACTGCCAGGTGTGTCCCCCCCCCCTTTGAACCCCCGCTGGCAACTCAATTGTTTGCATTTTGCATGCATTGACAGAGGGAGGCACAGGGGACCTGGCCACGCCCCCCGCCCCTTTGGATAGCCAGGATACAGATGTTTATGCGGATGTTCGGCACTGTCGAGCACTTGAGCACTTGCCACTGCGGCTTGCTCCTCTTAACTGGATTTGTTTGGCCTACGCTCGGGCACCTTGATCGACATGAAAAAACATGCAGCACCCAACCGAAAAAAAAACAAAACAAATCAAGACAAGACAAGTCAAGACACGACAAAACAAAACAAAAGATCGGGCTCATGAATAAAGCCTTAATAATGGGATGCAGTGTGTGTTTGCCATTTTGCAAGCTGTTCAAATTGGATTTGCCATAAATAAGGCAAATGTCTGTGAGCCACGGGATTTGCGTTAAAGCCAAACCAATAAATCAATGGTGGGCAAATCCATATGGCCAATTGGCCAGCGGATTCACACTTTAAAGGGCTGGCCGACTGCTCGCGTTACCATTTTGTACAGCAATTAACAAAGCCAGCAACTTTTTTCACAGCCCATTAGCGGCCAACAATTCGTTCGATAAGCCAATCCAATTACAATACTGTTTAACAATGTTTTCCCTTTTGTAATTTGGTAATTTTAGCCGTGCAGGCAAACCGTTTGGCCAGTTAGTAATGCAGTTGAATTGGAATTTAAGTAAGCCCATTGCATTCGCACAGCGAACTGTTCAAATTGCAAAGCGTTTCAATAATTCTGTCGCCTGGAGTTATGCAAAGTTTCCTTATGCAAACGCACATTGATTACCGTGCATCGGAATATATATTTATCACTCTACTGGCAATAATAACATGAATTATATGGTGATAAAAAAAAAGGATTCCCCATAAATCAAGCGTTAATAGAACTTTCGAGTAGATTACAAAACATTTCAGTTGATGCGGTTGGCAGAGCAATGTGTTCAACTACGCAAAAAAAAAGAACGCGGCAACAAAAATAGAAAATAACAATGCGGGGAACGAATCTGAAGGACAACGATAAACGATAACGATAACCATAACAATGTAACCATGGCAAACGACATTAATGTCCGCGTATTGAGACCCGTCTAATTGCATTGCTCAAGGATTCTCGTGAAGCGTGTGAACAACAACAATGGCGTCGTGTCCTGTAATCCCATGCGTGTGTATATATGTGTGTGTGTGTGTGTGAGTGAGTAGAACAATGGCGAAATGTCAAGTTTAATTGTTTGTCTGTCATTAGCGTCACACACACACACACACACGTTCGTATTCACCCACTGAAGCGATGCAGCGATGCATGGTTTTTTTGCTCCCTGCTAATTTTATACAATTAAATTTGCTTGCTACTGTGTAAGCAAAGGGAGCTTGGGGGCGGTGGGCTGTGGGCGCTGGGCGGAGGGCGGAGGGCGTGGTGGGTATTTTCCCCGAAACAAAAGAATCAAATGCTGTTACAATAACTTGCGCCGTGCTTATTTGCGGCAAACTCTCTCAAGCGAGCCACTTAAACAGCCTCACGCTCGGCTGAATATGTTTTGATTAAGCCAAGTATAACGAACACATTTCAGCCAGGACGACGGGCGGCGGCCTGAGTCCTGCGTCCCGAGTCCTGCGAAAGTGAGTCTCACTTTCCGCAGCCGACTGTAGCCTACTGGCTACTGGATGGATGGATGGTGTGTGGTGTGCGCTGTGTGTATACTGTACATGGGTGTGTGTATCCCGGGGCACGTTTATATACTCCATCGACCGCTCTGGTCAGGCACTGGGCCGTGTGAATGACATGACGTCGTCGGAAGGGAGAGAAGGACCTCCCCATCCCCATCACCATCCCCATTCCCATCGCAGTTCCAATCCCAGAACCTGCAGCAATCCCTATCCCAATCCCACGCCCATTCCCGTTCGCACCTCGGCTCGCCCTCGAATTATGTTCGTTTCTTTATTTTTAAAGTGCTGTGTGGGTGAGCTTGGTCCTTCGAGCCGTGCGGCTTACAGGCTTTGGCCTGTATCGAGTCGAGTTTCAGTCTAGTCGCTGGCACGCACGCAACTCCCAAAAACAAAACAAAACTTTAATACGAAAACATAACCTGGGGCACAGTGGATCACCTGCGGGTCTCTCAGTTATTATTCTCTAAGCTTATTTTTAGTAACCAGTGTTGTTTTAAGATCTACAAAGTTTTTATTCGGGTCAACCTAACCTGCTAACCAAATGCCAAAGGCCTGAGTAATTAAGTTGAATACAACCTGTTGTTTTAATGGTTTCACGTTTTCATTAGTTATAGAAAGTTATCTTTCTAAATGTATAAGCTAGGATTTAACCTACATTTTTGAAAGCCAAGTATTCGTAAGAGGATAACACTTTGATGATCTTGAACCGCATTAATTATCCCTTTTTCGGCACACTTTACTTGGCTTGAGAAGCAATGTGTGGAGTGGAGGCGACTTCCTGGTGTCCGTCTGTCGTACACTTGTTATACTGTCAATGCAGTCCAGAGTGCAAAGTGCAGAGTCGAAAGTCCAAAGTCCGGCGACCGTCCACTGTGCCATTATGGGCTTATACACTGGCAGCATATGGAATGACCACAGCACAAGGCCTTCTGCCCAAAGACTGGGGTTTATTTTCTGTTTGTCGGGGAAAGTCCGGCAGTCCGGCAGTCGGGAGTCCAGTCGATCCGAGAATCCAGTGGGAGGTTCGGGGGTTCGGGGCTTCGGGTTGGCAGAGAGTGTATGAAGTAGAGGGCCTTTGGGGTTTTGGTTTTCAGTTTGACTTGACATGCATCAGCATCATTATTTTGTGCTTTTAATGTTTTATTTAGCCTGGTTGCCGACAGCCATACGCAGTGTGGGCCCAAAAAGGGGGAGGCGGAGTATGGTGTGTGTATATGGTGTGTGTGTGTGGGAGTGTGGGAGTGTGGGTGCTGTCTGACCGCCTGTGAGCGCTGCCTACGTGCCGTTTGCACTCATTTCTTGCCAGCCTTTCATCTTTCCTCTCGCTCTTCCTCCGCTCTACCCCTCTCGTTCCCTCTCGTTCGAGTGTAGGCGTGTGTGTGTGTGCGCCATTTGCAACCAAGCACTCAAACAACATTTAAAAAGGCCTCATTTTCATGAGCTGTTGTGTGTTTGTATGGCTGTGTGGGTGTGTGTGTGTGTGTGTGTGTGTGCCATGATGACGATGGCGAGGATGAAGATGGGGATCCAGTGGATGAGGAGTGTGTGCCACTCGGCACATAATTGTTTGAAACAAATGTAGTGCGCACACACACACAAGCACCCAACCAGCAGAAGGCACACACACACACACACATGGCTGAACGTGCACTCACACAGACATGCGGGATATTTTATTAGGCCATTCAGTTAGTCAGTCATTTAGTCAGTCAATCAAACCGGGCAGGCAATTAAAGTTTCACTGCCCATTGTCGGAAGGCAGGGCAAAAGAACAAGAGCGACTGCAACAAAAAGAGCAGAGGGAGATAGAAAGATACGGAAAGAAAGAGATGGAGGGAGGGAGAGGGAGAGCGAGAGAGAGAGATAAACACATCAAATGGGCTGGCAAACAAGGCCTGGGTTCAAAAGGGTATCGGGAAAGCTGGGAAAGCTGGGAGCGGCCCGAACCTGGGGAAATGAAATCCTTTCAGATAAATGAAATTCCCCAGAATCGCCCCCAATGAGAACTTGATTAATAATGAATTGAACGGCACGGCCGGAATTTAAAATCCCTCTCACTAACTGGGTGGCGGGCGGTCAGGCAGTTTAACTGTTACATCACCCTTTTGGTTTAGTGGGTAACTAGTGAATAACTAGTTGCACTCACTTTGTGCTGGTAAAAACATTTCATGGATTGGAGGGAAAAGGAAATGGACTAACTAAGAGTTATGGGGACTAACTTAATATCGTCTTGTAAGCATACATTATTTCGACTGTTATTCATGAAACAAGAACTAATAAATATTTCCTCTAACCAACTATTTCCTCTTCTTTTTCATAGGCCTATCCCAACCGAGACATAACCAACATCGTCGAGTCATCCCACTACCAGAAGATCGGTGGTTGGTGTCGTCAGGGTGCTTTGAATGCGGCAAAGTGCAAGGGCTCCCACCGCTGGATCAAGCCGTTCCGCTGCCTTGGTGAGTACTCAATCCCAGTCCCAGAAACATCATCCCATTTGCTGGGACAGCTTAACAAGAGGACCAACCAACTGATCCGCTCTCCTGTTCTACCGCCATCCATCCAATCCATTCGCCATCGACGTTTGGCTTCAGAAGGACCATTCCAATCGGACGCCCTACTGGTGCCCGAGGGCTGTCTCTTCGATCACATCCACAACGCCTCCCGCTGCTGGCCGTTCGTGAGGTGGAACCAAACTGGAGCGGCCGCCTGCCAGGAGCGCGGAATGCAGATGCGCAGCTTCGCCATGCTCCTGCCCTGCGGCATCTCCCTCTTCTCCGGCGTGGAGTTCGTCTGCTGTCCCAAGCACTTCAAGAGTGAGTACTGACCTGGGTTTGAGCCAACTGAAACACCCGTCCTTAGGTTATAAAAACACCCATAACCCAGTCATTCGCCATCTGGGCTGTCACACGTCAGTCTTTCGAAACCCTTGAACCCCCCGTATGTTTTGTAGCAAGAATATCATATTCTGCATATCCATTTTCAATCCGCTTAAATTTTTCGTGACACGTAGGACTTCGGTTTCTTGTTTTCCTCGCTACGCACATAGCCATTAGTTATTTCCACCCTGCGGTTATGACATTAAATATTTAAAGCGCAAATCAAGCGCACAGAACAAACAATTGTGCTATTACTCACTCTGTCATTACATATTAAGCGAATCAGTTGGGGATTTATTTATTCAGGAATTTCGTTGTAGACTTTGCTTAAATTTGGCAATTAGTCCTTGGGTTCCTACCAATTACCATTACCGCTTTTTATGTCCTTGAGCGAATATCAATTAGTTACTAATGTATGTCTCCCCCATTCAGCCGATGAAATCCATGTGAAAAAGACCGACTTACCGGTCATGCCGCCCGCACAGATCACAAGTGCCAACGACGAACTGGTGGTCAACGACGAGGACGACAGCAACGATTCCAATTACTCGAAGGACGCCAATGACGACGAGCTGGACGACGAGGACGATCTGATGGGCGACGACGAGGAGGACGAGATGGTGGCCGATGAGGCGGCTGCTGCTGGCGGAAGTCCCGGGAGCACCGGGTCCTCCGGCGATGCCAACAGCGGATCCCTGGACGACATCAACGCGGAGTACGACAGCGGCGAGGAGGGCGACAACTACGAGGAGGACGGAGCCGGTTCCGAGGGCGAGGCGGTCGAGGGCGAGGCCTCGTGGGATCAGAGCGGCGGAGCCAAGCTGGTCACCCTGAAGGGTGGCTCCTCCTCTGCGCCGTCGAGCGTTCCGGTTGCCCCCGCCGCCTCCGCCGCCGACAAGACGACCCTCAAGTCCGACTTGGTCACCAGCACCCCTCAACTTTCTGCCGCCGCCGCAGCTGCCGCCGCTGCTGCTGCTGCAGCTGGCAGTGCCAGTGGAAACCAGGGGGCTGGAGCCGGAGTTGGAGTTGGTGTTGGTGTTGGAGCTGGAGCACCGCCATCGACCGCCCAACCCACCTCCGATCCCTATTTCACCCACTTCGACCCGCACTACGAGCACCAGAGCTACAAAGTAAGTCAGAAAGTAAGTGTTTACGTTGAGGGCGCAGGTTTATTTATCGATGCAACACAAAACGTATTCTAAACAAAGGAAGCCCAACAGCGCCTTGAGGAATCGCACCGCGAGAAGGTCACGCGCGTGATGAAGGACTGGTCCGATCTGGAGGAGAAGTACCAGGACATGCGGCAGGCGGACCCCAAGGCAGCCCAATCCTTTAAGCAGCGGATGACGGCCCGCTTCCAGGTCAGTCATCCTTTCAGTGTGACGCACTCATCTCTCAATCCTCCTCCCCTGTTTCCCAACACCTCCCCCTCTCTCTCTCACTCACTGTCTCTACGCATCACTCTGTCTCTGTCTCTGTCTCTCGCACCGAAACCTACTGTCTCCCTCTGACTGCCTGCCACCCGTCCCCTTGACTCTCTTTCAACTACTCAAACGTCTCTCTGCATCTGAATGTGTGTGTATGTCTGTGTCTGTAAAGGGGGGCTTCCTCTGGCAGGGGATCGATCAAAATTATCGACAACAATCGGCACAATTAGCTGAGTGATTACTCATTAATCATTGATTATCGGCAAGAAATCGATAGTCCTCCCCTGCCACCTGAAGCCACCTGAGCTATGGGCCTCATAACCAGTATTTATTCCATCTGTAGTCTCGTACAATATTCGTTTATCGCTTTATTTGATTTTTGTTCCCATTTTAAGCCCATTATCATGCACCCTATATATCGTAATCGTAATTGTTTCCTACTCTAACCGTAATCGTAGCTCATTCAGTCGTTTTTTCCGGCATTAAGTTGTGCTCATTGTATCGCCTGCTTTTCGTTTGCTGCTCCTCGAGGTCCAGAAGGGGGTTTCCTCCCCCCATCACTCTGGACATCGTTGGGCTGTCTTTTGTTTATTTGTGTATCCATATGTATGGCAAATGGGAGCGAAAGAGGCATCAGATTGTAATCACAACAGCAATAACAATAACAGTAACAAAACCAGTAACAAATATGCTGCTCGTATTCTAACCAGTTAACGAAGTACCGCCACAGCAACAAACAATAGATCAAACTACCCATATTACGTATACTAACTAACATCCAAAATGCTTTGTAGTTGAACTGATTGGCATATAAAATAACTATTATCCGCCTATACCCAACCTACACGTAAACCTAAGCCTATCCTTAGTTTCGACATCGTTTCTCAGTTCGATACCAACGACGATCCTTGACCAAAATCCGACTCGAACGAAAATCAAACGAACGAAACGAAAGTATCCCGACTTTAATAACTATAGATGTGCATTGCCCGCGCGACATGCTATATGCTATATGCTATGATTATGCTGCTTACGTAATTGCCGCGCTTTAGCAAGCATTGCTACTCTCAAGAATGAACTGCATCCATGTATATAGCTGACCCGACCCGATTCGAACACTGGACAGGATCCATCTTTGCACCGCATCAGTGCCTCGCACTCTGTTTCTCTTGCGCTCGTTCTCGCTTCATCTTGCTTCCCCATGGCAGCACAGTCTCTGTAGCGGCACTACCAAGAAAAGTAAATAATACTACTTGTAATAACAAAACCTGCAAGAAACCCGCTATGTCTTAAAACTCAGGACCAGCCACGCTACACCTCACCTCCCCCAAACCCAAACTAACATTTCAACCGCAAAACATTCTACATACAAGACACGTACGAGTCGAGGAAAATTTTTCGAAAATTAAAATGATAACAGAATAACTTTGAAATTACCAAAAGACCGATCGACAGCTGCATATTGTTATCGATCGACGCAAATTCCCCATGCTGATAATCTTTCTCTCTTGGTGTGCAATACGTCTTTATATGGGAATGTAATTTTAGACTTCTGTTCAGGCACTCGAGGAAGAAGGCAACGCCGAGAAACACCAGCTGGCCGCCATCCACCAGCAGCGCGTTCTGGCCCACATCAATCAGCGGAAGCGTGAGGCCATGACCTGTTACACCCAAGCCCTAACCGAGCAGCCCCCGAACGTGAGTAGTTTTCCTGTTCTAGTGACCGGAGGAATCGATATTTAAAGTAGAAACCAACATCAGCGTTGGTCAATTATAATGAATGAAAAACAATTCCAAGACAATGCAAGAAAATGTTCTTAAACAAAACAGGGCTGGATTTCTCTTGTAACGTCAGTCCATGAGTGGGCGCCAAATATTTAATACATCACAATGTTATGTTTTTTTATGTACTGAGCTTTTAAATATACCAAAATTAATTTTTAAGATAGTCCGAAAGCTTGTACTAAAAGTTTAAACTATTATTCAGTTCTTCAAGATGTTCATTCCTACATATATTAATGCTTTTGATCTCCCTATAGGCCCATCACGTTGAAAAGTGCTTGCAGAAGCTGCTGCGCGCCCTGCACAAGGATCGTGCCCATGCCTTGGCCCACTACCGCCACCTGTTGAACTCCGGAGGACCCGGCGGTCTGGAGGCGGCTGCTTCGGAGCGACCACGCACTCTGGAACGCCTGATCGACATCGATCGAGCTGTTAACCAGTCGATGACCATGCTCAAACGCTATCCAGAGCTGTCGGCCAAGATCGCCCAACTGATGAACGACTACATCCTGGCGCTGCGCAGCAAGGACGACATTCCCGGGTCCTCGTTGGGCATGAGCGAGGAGGCGGAGGCCGGCATTCTGGACAAGTACCGCATCGAGATCGAGCGCAAGGTGGCCGAGAAGGAGCGCCTGCGACTGGCCGAGAAGCAGCGCAAGGAGCAGAGGGCCGCCGAGCGGGAAAAGCTGCGCGAGGAGAAGCTGCGGCTGGAGGCCAAAAAGGTGGACGACATGCTCAAGTCGCAGGCGGCCGAGCAGCAGCAGCAGCAAGTGCAGTCGCCCCAGTCGTCGACCCAATCGCAGGCGCAGCAGCAGCAGCAGGAGAAGAGCCTGAGCAGCAAGGAGCTGGGTCTCGACGGCGGACTGGTCACAGCGGCCAATCCCAACTTGGACACCACCAAGAGCGAGAAGGAGCTGTCGGACACTGAGTACGCCGAAGCCACAGTGAGGTGGGTCTCCCCTATATCTATATACGTAAACGTAGTCCGAGAATTAACTTCCTTACTTTCCAACTTTGCAAATTGCAGCAGCACCAAGGTGCAGACCGTGCTGCCCACGGTCGACGACGATGCCGTTCAGCGGGCGGTGGAGGACGTGGCCGCTGCCGTCGCTCACCAGGAGGCCGAGCCGCAGGTGCAGCACTTCATGACCCACGACCTGGGCCACCGCGAATCGGTATTTGAGCTGCGGCGCCAACTCGTGCCGCATTTGCCTAAAGCCTATCCCCTCTCTTTCTCTCCCCTCTCGTTGCAGAGCTTCTCGTTGCGCCGCGAGTTCGCGCAGCATGCGCACGCGGCCAAGGAGGGTCGCAACGTCTACTTCACGCTCTCCTTCGCCGGCATCGCCCTAATGGCGGCCGTCTTTGTGGGCGTGGCCGTGGCCAAGTGGCGAACATCACGCTCGCCGCACGCCCAGGGCTTCATAGAGGTCGATCAGGTGGGTTGTCAAAGGTCAAACGAACCGAGAGAAGAGTACCCCGAAGATCATCATGAGTATAACAGTTATAGAAAAGTGCGGTCTCGGTCTTAATCTCTATTTTTATCCCCTTAATCTTATTAAACACTTACTAATTTCGTAATATCCTCAACCAGAACGTGACCACACACCATCCCATCGTGCAGGAGGAGAAGATCGTGCCCAACATGCAGATCAATGGGTACGAGAATCCGACCTACAAATATTTCGAAGTGAAAGAGTAAGCGGGATGGCAACAGGAACGCGGCTGGCCAGAGCGAGAGCGAGAACGCGAACGAGCGAGAAGCACACATCAACAGCAAAAAATCAGCAGCAACCACAATTTCAAAATGGAAAAACTTAAGCATAATATTAAAAAGCAGATGGGAAGAGAAATGATTTTTTTTTTTCGTCAAAAGGAGCGCAGTTCCAATAAGAAGAATCGAGGGGTAGAAGAAGAAAGATAAATTCAATGAATGGTAATATATCTATATATTAAATTAAAGCAAGCAAGCAGAAAGGCAAGAATATAATGCAAGCAATTAAATTTAAGTATTTGAATGTTTAACAAAATGCAGTAAACATCCTTTCTAGCTCTCTATCTCTCTTTCTCTCTCTGTCTCACTCAACCACTCTGTCCCTTTCCCACTCACACACACAACCTTACTCTTGTTGGTCGCCAAGGAAGAGACAACTAATAGCCAAAGAGGCAAGCGAAAATCCGTGCAAAGGCAACATGGAGAAGAGAGAAAGATGAGAGCAAAGGCGAGACAACAAGGATCACACAGACGAACACACTTACCCGAAAAAAGAAAAGGGGAGCAGGCGGAGGAGAAGAAAGAAAAGAGAGCAGAAGAAAAGCAAAACAAAAGATATTCCTAGTAAATAAATTGTCAACACACACTCACACACACACATACATACACATTCGTACACCGACTCACTCAAAGATACAGGAACAGTCAATCTCACACTGACAGCAACTCACAGACACACACACTAATACACACACACACGCGCGCGCATTCATGGCTGCTTCGTAGCATACTTTTGAGCGTTTCGTGGCGTTGAAATGCTTGCAAGCGATCGCAATTCTTACCGAATAATTTAAGCCATTATTTATTGCCGCGCTAAAAGCTAAAGGAAAGCAGGACGCAGAAACACGGACACACACTCACACTGAGACACATGTGAACCTAAGAGCTACCTACGCGTACTAATCTCTATACGAACGTGCATATGCGCCTATGCATTTGTGCAACTCTCTCTCTAAACCACACTCACACACACGCAACAAAAGATAAAAAAAATAATAAAACTTCAGACAAACGCAAGGCAAATGCAAAACCCAACAAATTATATATACACATATATATAAATATATATATATATATACAATATATTTAAAGCAAAGCAAGAAGAAATGTCCATAAATGTATTTATGTATCTATACACGAGCCACACAACCCGAAGGTCGAAGTTCAGCCAGCTAAGGAGAAGAATTACGATGCTTGGCAGGCTATGAAATGAATATATGAATCAGCTACGTAACAGAAACAATGCAAAACGCTAAGCTAATTGCAGATAAAAACCAAAAAATGGAAAAAACAAAAGATATGAAAACGAAAAACTTTTAGAACTTTTTCTGCATATTTTGTGTGTAAGTCGGTGGCAAAAAAACGAAAACAAAAAAATGTTTTTTCTCTTTTTTACGTTACATGTTTCACTCAAAGGCCAGCACAAAACACTCACACCCCCTCAAAAACCACACACACACACACACACACACACTCAGTAACGCCACACACACACACCTACACGGAATGGAGCCCAAGAGCAGTCGATGCATTCGATATCAAGAGTTTTGCAACAGTTTGCATAATTGTAGAGCCGTATAGCCAAACGCCGGCGAAATCTGATAAGCAGGAGGGTCCCCCCGAAACGGAGACGGAATCGCGAAATTCCGGGGAACCGAAGGCGGACGGAGCCGGAGACACGGAGACACGGAGCCGGAGACGGAGACACGGCACCACCTAGAGTGGTGCGCTCCGAAGAGCCGCAAAGATAAACCGTTTCGAAACGGCTAGTTTCATTTCTTGGCTCGATTGCTTGGCAAATATTTTGCCTGCTTTGTTCGAGCAGCGAGATACTGTTACTCAATCAAAGCCAAATAATCGAAATGCTTTCCCCCGCCAAAAAAAGCCGACGAGCGGTTGCCCTTCTCAACCTAATTTCCAATAACTAAATCAATTTAACTTGATAAAGTTTTACTTTTCAATTACTTTTATTAAGCTAGCAGAATAAAGAGAATGTACACAAATTTATATTTAACGGAAATTAAACAAGAACAATTGCTTGAAATTAAGATTGAAAATATGGTTGCTCTAAGTAATATCCAAATTAGATCGGAAATTGAGATTCTGAATGAGATTTAAATTGAAGCTTTTGCAACCGAGTTTAAGCTGAAACTTTTATTAATGCTGTAATTGAAGTTGATTTGAAATGAAGCTTCAAGGCACAAAAACAGAGCTAGAAACTGAGAATTAAACACTAATATAAATTAATACCAAAAGTAGCGCTGTAAATTTTGCTGAAATTGAACTACAAGTTTAAAAACCACCTGAGATTGATACTAAATTTGAAACTGGACGAAGCTGAAAATGAAATTGTGTTTGTAAGCGAAACAAACCTTGCAATTGAAGTTGGAATTATATATTAAATTCAACTGGTATAGAAGTTGTAATTAAAACTAAAACTAAATTGAATGCAATTTAGGTTTTAATTATTACTTCCACATCAACTTTGATATTCTCCTTCAAATGCAAAGTCAGTGTTGCTTCCAATTACAAATTTATTTTGAGTTTCTGAGCATCAAAAGTAGCGACGATTTCAATTTTGAATTAAATTTCAATTTCTGTTTGAGTTGAAACGTTAATTTCGGAATTCATTTTTAAGACTGTTTAAATCCCATCTCTAGCTAGGTTTAAATTTCGACTTTGAATTCAATTGCAGTTTTGCGATCAGTTTCAGTTTAAATTGGAACTTCTCATCCTGACTTTCAAGTAAGGTTCTTATTTAAAATCAAATAAACTTTGTATATTAACTTTATCTTGGCTACACAATACATATTTCTCATACATTTTGTCTAACTTCATAACGTTCTTTGAGGCAAACTCACGGTGCTCCCCAACACAAATACACACAGTCAGAAACACATTATATAATGCTAAATGTATTACAACAATATATATACATCTATATATATACAAACACATATATATTTCAACAGAAACAAACAAAAAGGCAAATCAACTACACAAAAAAGTAAATAAGAAGAAAATCTAACTAGTCAAAGCTTGAATATTTTTTAATTTATTCATTAATACAACAAGAACAACAACAAAAAATGAAAAAGTATACATATATATAAAACCAAAAAAGAACAACAAAAAAAGAAAAAACAATTGATATTTACACTTAGTGAAGCAAAAAACAAAACCAAAAAACAAAAAAAGCGGAAAGTAAAAGCGAAAAAAAAAAACAAAAAACAAAAATGATGCAAATGTGTAAGAAATAAACCCCGTCCTGCATAAATAAAATTAAATAAAAGAATAAAATAAATGGAAACGTAAAGAATATCATAAAACAAAAAAGATTTACACAAAGATTAAATGCAAAACAAACAAAGAAAAACGAGGAAGCAACAACAAGAAAATTATAATGAAATCGCATGTGTTTTTGTCGTAGTCTCATCATTGAAAACCAAATGAAAAACGGAAGAAAAAAAATTGAATACAAAAACCAAGTAAATTGTAACGAGAGAAAACCAGCAAATAAGAGCAAAAATTTGTGTAATTCTTTTTGTCGAACTATGATTTTTGGCCGAGCGGAGAGAACTCAGTTGGAGAAAAGTATAAAAAAAATTTAAATATTAAATGTACTCAAAGACAATTGTAATTGCAACAATAATTGTACGCTATATATACTATTATTAATGTGGAAAAGATTTCAGCATTCGGCCCTGGCCGTTGGCCCCCTATATCTTTGATCTTTGATCGGCGAACAACGGCGATCTTCGATTCGATTCGTGTCGATCTACCCGGATCGATATGACGGGCATAATACCATATAGCCCCGGGGGGAGGACCCAGGAAAAGCCAGGAAAATTGTATAATGTTTCACACAAAAACCCAATGATGGAAAACCAAACATAAAACATAAGAATGCAAAGGAAACAAACAACAAGAAAACAACAACAAAGAAAACAAAAACCAAACAATTTTCAATGTATAATCATATAATTTGATTTTAAATTTTTGTGTTCTTTTTCGAAATATTTTGCATAAATAAAATAAAATAACAGAAAAACAAACAATCATTCGTGTGAGTCAACTTAATTATGGTGGTTTTGTTAGTTCAGATAACGCGGAGATTATTATGATTTATTCTACGGGATCGCTCATATATTTCATCGAAAACCCGTCAAAGCTAATCAGTTTTTTTTTTCGGATTAGCATCGATAATACGGTTATGGGGTCAGTTAAAAGCAAACCGATTGAATTGTTTTAGCAAACGCATTATTTAGCACTGCCGAACATAAAACTTATTTATTAAAATACGAATTATATGATTTTTCGAATAATATTTTTGTTTTAATTTCCGAAAAATGGGAATGCAGAAAAGAAAGTTAATTTTTATTTTTATTATTATTATTATTATTTCTTTTTTATTTTTAGGTTTATTTTTTTTTAAATTTTTGTATCCCTTTCAAAATTTTCGGGAAATGGATACGCCGAAAAGAGACCAAAATCCAATACATCTGAGTCTATAACTTTTTTAGTCATATCTCTATGAGTTTGTGGTTTATTTATCTAACAAACTGCATCATTAGTTAAATTTTTATTTTTTGGCCTATTTTTTTTGATTTGGATGACCCATTCAAAATTTTCGGAAATGGGTTTCCCGAAAAGTGACCAAGCACTTCCAAGTCCACAACTTTCTTGATTTAGCTTATACTTCGAGGTGGCATACCTCTAGAAATTTATAGTTTAATTTTCTGGCAAGCTGTATTTTAGAGACCTTTTTGAATTTCCGGAACCAAAACCTAATTTAAGCTGCAATACACTTATTAACTGCTGCTGCTAAGCCTCCGAATGCACTTGAAGATAGCTATAAACTCATGCCAGAAAGTCTGACTGGCCAACTAGACCAAAAAGTGGCATATAAAGCTCGAAGTCCCCCTCGAAGGGTCATCCACTTGACGAGTTTGACTTCTAAGCGGGGGCTGGGTTACACCTGGCATACATGTGTGCGCGCCTCATTATGAGTTTCAACTTCGAGTGCGCCAACAAGCCTTTACAATAAATCACTTGAAAAGGTATATGTGAAATCAATGTAAAGCACTTCAGTCTATCAAGTGTCCGGAGCATGAAAATTGACGTACATTTTGATATATGGGCTGGAGCTGCTTTAATGGAGCACCCCTCTTTTGATCGATGTTGAACTCCGTGAATGTGGAGCACGGACGGCGGACGGAATAGAAAAGCGGACAAGACGGACAGATAGTGATCTTTTTTAAATAGTTCGAGTGCTCGAGGGGCTTTATTTTAGCCTTGCTATCGTTGTGAAACTTTCCAAAGTGCATTCTGCATTCTCAAGAGTCCCAGTGCCCCGCACAAGTGGCCACTGTCCGTTGTCCGTTTGTCCGGTTGTCCGTATGTCCATTTGTCCGCTACATGACAAATGACAAACAACACACTTGCCCGGGCTTGCAGTTCCTCTATCGGAACAATGTTACAGCCGAGCAGATAGAGATAGAGACCAGATAGAGCGACAGACAACTTTGAAATGCACTTGAGCGTATTGGGAACTCGAGAACATGTGGGTTTTTTGTTCGTTTCTGAAGGTGGTACTTCAGTGCTGTTCCCTTCCAAAAGCTGTACTCTAATTTCCCTGTTATGCACTTGGGTGTTTTAATCACGAAGGACGATTCGGGTAATCTTTGATGCAAGAGGTGGAAGTTACCTCTTCAGATTGCCTTTGAATATTGACTAAACATAACATTTCGAGTTCTATTGCACAGATATTGTTGATTTTGAATTCAGTCTTAATTTATCACATGATTGATTAAATTATCTGGTTAGTATTATGAACATACGTCATTGTTTTAAGAAGAAAGCCTTTTTTTTCTGGTAAATAATCACTATGCGGAATTATGGTATCATAGGCGCCCTGATAAGCAACACTATATGGTGTTCCATTGACTTTCGTTGCGATTGCTGGAGATCACTTGACGCAATACCCCCAAAAGTCCACTGAATGGACTCCACTCTTACGAGAAGTCTTCAAATGGCTCATATCGTTCCGAAATCAGCAGCACCACTTCCATTAAGGTTGTCATTGCGTCGTCTGGCCTCCGAAGTGACAAGATGTCAGCGCTGGGAAACTGATAAGTGGTGCAGCTCCTGAGATCGCTGGAGAAATTAGGGGCGGTCGGTCGATGGGGCCCCCAGTTGAGATAAGGGCATAAACAAAATGCGAGCGGCCCAACCACCGAGTGGGTGCGAAAGGGACGAACAGATTGACGACCGGCGGCAGTCCGCCCCACTTTAACGCTGGTAATGGTGCTGCTCTAGGTGGTGCTGGTGGTGGTTGTGGTGGTGTTGTTTTCAGGCCCCCCCTGATAAGGCAGTGCAAACCAAACGGTAGCCCGCTCTCGCATCTGATAAGAATCCGATACCGAATGGAAGCCAAACATGTTGCTCTACAACATTAAAACAGCCAGTCGTCCACATTCAAATCGGGCTGATTAGCCAGCATATCGGGGCTGTAATGCCTCGGGGTTCCTTACCTCGGATGTAGGTTGTAGGTTGTATTTCCCCAGTGTCCACGGCATTATCACGACAACCATATCGACCATACCGACCAACTCTGATATCGGCTCTACCCGTGTGCAAACAAGAAGAGAACGAAAATGAAAACAAAATGCGGAGCCAAACGGGAGTTTTATGGGGCCCAACAACTCCCGATCGAGCAGCGATATTGTTTGTCAATAAACATACGCGCCACATAATCGCCCATAATAATATTAATATCGTCGGGGGCTTACTATTATTATTACTTCATGATTCGGCTTGAGCTACAATCGGGAGTTGCAGTTCGGCAGCCGCTCACCTTGGTCATCGTCCTACCGAAACATCAAATGGCAGTTCTACGTATACGAACGCCCATTCAGATATTTATCGGGGGCCACTCGACAAATTTATTCACTCGCATTCGCTGGTTGATGGATTGGATCGCTGGTTCCGTGGTGTCTTGTTGGGTCGACGGATTGATGCCAGAAGCACAAACCGACGGGGTCCGTTTCTTACGGACGATTTTGGCGGACAAACGGACAAGTGGCGGACAAACGGAAAATTGGCGGTTAGATAACAAGGCAATTAAGTGGGGGTTTAGTGCGCCATTTTTTTAATAGAATACTGCCATATGGTCAAATGGGATTATACCTGATATGGGAAAGCAATAAAAAGCTTTAAAATACCACCCAGTGGGGTATACTCCTAACGGACAGCTCTAACGGACAAGTAGTTAGATAATCATACAATAAAAACATGCCTCATCAAAAGATTGTTGTTTATTGAAAACTTGTATTCGAGCTTAAAAGATCCAATTTTTACAGGAGATCCACTTGAATGATGACAATAAAAGCCTGAAAATATCACCCAGTGGGGTATACTCCTAACGGACAGCTCTAACGGACAAGTAGTTAGATAATCATATAATAAAAAGATCCAATTTTTACAGGAGATCCACTTGAATGATGGTTATTTCCACCACTTTGGCTCCACTGTGCAATGCAGCAGCAGAAACAAATCGGTTGAGGCCCAGTGAAAATGGGGGATACAAGAACAAATATAAGCGCAAATCCCGATTTGGGGCGTTGCGAGTATCTCCCGGCTGGAATATATCTTTGTGCGGGCCAGTTAAGTGCATGTGTGTGGATATATGTATTTATACATTCATGTATGTATATATAGTCAGGGGGCAGCGATAACTGCAGCGCACACCTACGGGTACAGCTTTATCGATATTCTTGTGTACACTTATTGATATTTGTTCAACTCGGCTGCCTTCGCCGCTCTCCTGTGCACTGCGTGTGTTTTGTTTAATACCTATTTGACTTTAATAAGTGATTGTTGTACCGTTTAAAGTGTCCCTCGTTGCGCCACTCCATTCGAGCGGCTCTACGCGTCTCCAAGTTCCCTAATTCGTTAGCTCTGAAACTTTTCGGTTTTCGGTTCTCTGACTCCGATTCTCGACGGATCATCGAGTGTCGCCGGGCTTCTGGTGGCGGTTTTTAGGCTTCCCGGTTTCGCTCTATTGGCAGTACGCCAGCGCCAGTTGGCACCTTTCGACGTGGAGCCGCTAAAACCACTCGATCGCAGCGATATCGGGAGCTGCCAGAGCGAGAGGGACCGAGTGTATAACGGAGCGAGCGAGCGAGATAGGACCCCACAAACGGACGCTCTCTTTCGGCGGACAGATTGTTGTTTTTAGCCGACTACGGTTTTTATGGCTTATTGAAATCGGATAGCGGCAGTCAAAAAGCGCGCGTTACGCCTGCCACAACTGCCGGACACTCCATCCGGCTCCTATATCTCGGCTATATATCGGAAAATGTAGCTCTCGTTCGAGTGCAGTTGACTAGCAATATCCCAATAAATCACGCCTCGCCTCCATCGCCTAATTGCTGTACGAAGTGTACACATCAATTAAAAAGTGATCGCGCATTAAAAACCCATTCGAGTGCAAATAATTCGCTGACAAATAGTTCATTAAATAATTCATTAAATGTGAACCCCGCAAGCCAGCAGTTAACCACCAACAAACCACCAGCTCTCCCCCGTCCAATTTCCAGTAACACTTTTTTTTTCTGGTTCAGTTTCTGTTGCTCTAACTGTTACTTTTACTGTTTCGGCTGGCATTTTCCACGACGATTTTCCCGACGGTTCAGATTTTCTGCACGCAAGAGCCTTAATTATGAGCAATTATAATCCGAATTGCGGTTACTTCGAGGATTGCAGCTACTACACGAACAACGTGTACCAACAGGATTATTGCATGCAGCCGGATTATGAGTACAACAAGCATGTCTACGAGTAAGTACAGCCGAAAGTCACGGCCCGAAATCAGAAATCAGAGAACTGAAAACAGAAATCACAATTTGGAAAATCGGCCCTTGGCAAATGGGCAAAGTCACTCAACTGTCAAAATAAAACACTGGTGGTGGAGAAAGGGTGGGATATTTGGGCTTTTCAGGGATCTAAATAGAAGGCAAGGATGCTCTTATCACCCTTCGAAGGTTTCCTAAAATCTAAACAAGGTGATCTATTTGAAATCGACTTTCAACTCTTTTATGATCACTCAAAGAACATTCATTCATTAAATTCTTATCAGTCAATGGATCATAGAGGCAAGCTTTTTTGGGACTTCAAGTGCGTTGGTTCAGACATGAATCTGTGTTTAAGAGTTCCCAATCTTTCATTCACAATCGCCAGACCTGAATGAAAGCATGAGATTGCAAATAGAAGGTGGAGTAAAAAAAATACATATTCTGGCTTTAAAAGCAGGTCCCCAAACTTATTATTTACTAAGACTTCATATCAAAAAACATTCGAGAACTAAATTTCTAAAATTCTGCCTATCCTCCATTGGGAATCATTCAGGGAGTGCAGGTACTTGTACGCACCTGCAAAGAAGTGTCACAATATTTCCTGGAAATCGATGAGGCAATTAAAAACAATTTGATTTTAAATCATCTAAGAAAACACAAACCGGGCTAAGAAAACACCGGCTTTGGGAATAGAAATAGAAATGGAAAGAGAAAGGAGAAAGGAGCAGGATCAAGGCATGTCGCATTAACATTTAATGGCATAACATAATGAAATTGTATTGGCTACCGAACCGGATCGAAACGAGGTCCGTTTTAGGTGCGTTAAGTCCCTGATTTTCGCACACTCCTAAGCCAATGTTACGGCATTGTGAGCGATCGGGGATGGGGATTCGATTCTGACTGACTAGTCGTCGGTCGTCGGTAAGCCGAGGCGAAAAGGTGTCGGAATAACAGTACTGCCATACCATACCATCCTTATATGGCACACAGCATATAGCATATATAGCAGATATGGCATATAGCATATTATAGCACACCCAGAGGACGGGGCGAAAAACAAAGAGCCGGAGTGCAACAATGCGCATTATTTCCACTTTGTCACCTTTCCCGGCGGCGGGGTTTTTGAAAAACCAAAACACATGTTTAGTGAAATCGCCTGGAAAATCACACAAACAGAAAGAGGAAGAGGAAAACAAGGCGAACGAGCGAACGACGACTCTGAGCGACAGGCAAAATTTGGGTTTAATTGGGTTTGTCCATAATCGTTGCATCGAACCCTCGGATAATCCGGGATAATGCTGTTTGCCAAATAAAACCAATTCCATTTATTTGCGCTTTATGTCATGTGTGAGGTTGGTTCCCAGTTATCCCGGTTATCTGCGTTCATTGATGGATGGATGGATGGATCGCAGGACCTCAGTACATGTGTATTTCACAGCCAGTGCTCTTTGTCCCGATTTCAATCTCGGAATTTCCCTGCGGCAGCAGTTGTTGCTCCATATGGCAGGTTGGGTTTTCCTTCGCCTCTCGAAACCCCTTTTTTTTTTTTGGAGTGGGCGAAACTTGAAGGACAACGGATCGCGGACACGCTACACTTGTCTCCCTGAAATATGAAGTTCGAAAAAATAATTTCATTTGAACGCAGAGTCCCCAACGCAAGTCACTCAAGTTGAACGTACTCCAGTTGAGTCCGTAAAAAAATAAAAAAATAAAACTACGAAACACCGAAAGTCGAAAAAAAAAATAAGTCGAAAGCTTCAAATGCCTGGGAATGTGTGCACATGTCCGCGACGACGGCGACGACCGATGAGCCAGGAAGTAAACAAGGCCCGAGCCCACAGAAAAAAATTCAGAGCAATAATCGAGAGCGGAGTATACGACTTACGAATCTCCTGCTCCTCAACCCACTCTTCTGTATTTAATTGTGGGAATCTCAGTTTTTAAATAATTGTAAGCCAACAACTCGAACTAAATACAAATAAGGTGTAGTAAGCTGTAGGGCACCAAAAAATCGACTATGTCCGAAGCATTTCTCCAAATGCGTTCAATTTGCGACCCTCACTTTGCGATAATTTGTGTTTATGTTTCTTCTGCCGTTTTTTCGATTTTGTTCCTCAAATATTAAGTCCTGGCTTAGTTACAGGGTTTTCAGATCATAAAATAAATGTTTATAAATATTTAATTGATTATCAATAATTTACTGATTACCCAATAAATCAAACTTGAAATATTGTTAGTTTGTTAGTTAATTTGCAAAAACTTTTCTGTCTTACTTACCGAAGTTATAATAACTTCTTATAAGTTATAGGTTTTTCTCCTCTGATCTATGCATATTAGCTTAATTAGCTTAGCTTAAAATAAATCTGAAATTGTAAACATAAAATATCAAAATGATAATCACCAAATAAAATAGTAAAATAAATGGTGCTAGGCTACCCTGACTTGTTGGTTTCCATGTCTTCGTTCAGGAAACTGTCACCCGCCAAATAAAAGGAAAGTTTTCACCTTTTTTTCGCTTAAACGGCGCTGTCAAAGCGACGGCCACTTGCCAAGGGAAATTGGAGTGAGGAGGAGCTGCCCGGATAAAGTGGGAGTTGCTAAAGTAATAACCCTGCGAGGGCGGGGAGCAAAGAGTGGCTGTCTCTGCGTGTCAGCCCCATTGTCAGGAGGAGCTAAGGAAAACTGAAAGCTGTAGTCGAGTCGAAAAACAACGGCCAGAAATTGATACATTTCACAATTTTGTTGCAGTTGCAGTTGCAGTTTCAGTTCGCCGAGGGGGCGCGTGACTTTGTGACATTTAATGCCAGTTTGTCAGCCGGGTTTTGTCACCGGTGCATGACATGCACTACTAATACTGTGCTGTGCCATCCGGATGCGAAAATAACACAATGAAATTTGCATCCGCGACAGGCCTGACTTAGCCCGTTCCGTTCCGAACCCAAGTCGCCAGGTCTGATGGGCCTATAATGAAGCATGTGATTGCCTGAAGTGTCACGGACAAGAGTGCAGGGGCGTGGTCTCAAGTTGCTCGTGACGCGGAATGGGTCACGGGATGATATGGCAATGCTAATGCTATTTGTAGTCCTCCTAAACTCCCCTAAATTTATATTCCATTGATGTAGCAAATGCATTAAATAAGAAAAAAGGATAAAAATTGATTTCATTTAAACCCACTAAAATTTAGAAGCAATATAACTTCCGTTGTTAACCCGGAATTTTGAAAGTTCGACTAAATAATTAGCAGACGTCCGAGTTTAATTCTGCTTCACTGATTGCTGCTGGCCAACAGGGATGGTAATAGATGGGTAATAGATCCTACAATGACCACCACAAATGGGCAAGGTGATGTTCGAAAAAATGAAATTAGGGAACAAAACAAAGGCGAACAAAGCGGTGAAATGGGCATTTCGCACGCTGGGCCATTCATGAAAATATGCCATTTGAACCGGGGGAATCGCCTTGGCATTTGGAATAAATTGCGAATGAATCGGACCGACTGGACCGTTCGGTTTGGTTTGCTTTGGGTTGGTCGTCCTGGGCGCCCAGCTGTGAAGGAAGTAGGAAGTGTGCAGAGGAAGTTGGTCGCACTAAACCCAGTTGACCAACTGACCCGGCAACTCCGACACAATGGGGCGTGCAGCTCAAAAAACGACTTGGAAATGCCGGGACAGGCAGTTGGGAAACCCATTTGTCAAGTTACAGGGCTACTCGTGGATCCTCCCAGCTGCAGAAAATATTCACACACGCACACAGATGCAGTTACAGATACAGATACAGATACAGTTACAGATACAGATGCAGGGCGGGTTCAATCCTTGCCTTTCATCCTTTTTTACTAGTCAATGAGCCAACCTCTTCAGAAGTAAAGAAAGACAATAATAAAACCCTATAATAAAATGGGAAGCATGTTTTCAATTATGATTAGTTCGTTTCCTTCTTTTTCAATTTATTATTATTTTTTCAATAAATTGATTAATTTAAATATATCTTACATAATAATGCAAAAGTTTCCAAATGCTAAACTCACACATTGTTGACATTAACCCATTCCTAAGATCCCCTAAGACCAATAAAACAGCTGAAGGATACTGATTTCCTAAGCTGATTTAAGCCACTGATGGATTGCTCTTGCCACCAAAGAAAGCGAGAGAAATCGACTTGGGAATGACTTCTAAATGCAAATCTCCTCAATTCGATCATTAGGGATCACGAGCCACCCCAAAAGTCATAAAAAAAAAAATACCCGAACAGCAAAACCAGCGATCAACCCGAAGGAAAACCAAACAGATACCCAGCTGTATTTGCACAGATACGAGTACATTCGCATCTTAAAGATCCTTTTCTGACTTTTGTCCTGCCCGGACACCGCCTTCTTGTCAGAATCCAGCCCCTTACATAACAAATTTGGCAACAGAGCAAACAAATTACCCGGAATCAATAGGGCAGAAGCGAAGATACACGATCACGCCAGCACAACTGACCAGAGGACAAAACCTTTAAAGATCAATCAGTTGGGAGCGGTAGTGGGAAGCTACACTGGGGGAAAAAATGTTGTATTCTGATTTTAAACTTCTTTCGGAATACCTTAGCTAAATAATTACCTTATGATTCTTAATTACTGCTTACAGATAAAACTGCGAAGTTTTTTGCATCATCATAAACATATTCTTCTTTAATATGTGCAATTAGTCAGTTAATCAATTTTAACTTATTTCTAATCAATAACTTAAATACAGTTTGAACCAGGTGAATAGTTTAAGAATTTTCTCCGAGTGCACTTAGGTGAACGATGCATTTCCGCCGGGCCAGCTCAATGGGTTCCCTTTAGAAAATTCGTTTTTACTTTTCATTTTTTTTTTTGGGTAAATCACTTCCGCGCAGCGAATCGGAGACCCGAAATTGTCATGGCCGTCAATTGACAACACGAGCGGGCCAAAATCAGTGGCGAGAGGGGGGGAAGGGGCTATAGGGCTATAGTGTAGAGGG